AAATTCCATCCACTCATACCACTTAATTTTCAGAATCCCCACTTCTTCCAAACTGACACACAACCTGTGAAATTAAAATACTAATTTTTCCTCTCTCTCAGAGGCAGGGTTTTATTGGGGTCAGGACACATCAGGATGGAGACTGCAAGAGGAAACCAAATCTTAGGCATCAGTTACAGAGCTGATCATTGGCAGAGGACATGTATTTTGCATATCTGAAACAAGAGAATGCAGCTTTTGCAAAATTCGGTACACCCAAGACCACACAATAGAATCCATACAGTGTTCACTCCCTTCTCCTGATTGCATTTTGTTTTTGAATTTGCTGCAAGTCATCCACATAAGAGATTTCCTTGGAGTCAATATGGCATTTTGAAAGCCTATTCCCCGATATTAAACGTAAAATGTCCAACAGCTCTCACAGTGAGCATTTTTTGTGCAGACACTCGCACAGTAATTAGCAATACTAAAGACTGGGTGTTGAGAAACAGAAAAGGTTACTAGCTAGGGCAGAAAAATCACGTTACTAACTCTTTCCACTACCCCACTATTGTGCTGGAACGTCACACATTCTAGGCTCTGCCAATATGTAAGGAGGATGACTAAGAACTATGACTTCATTTTGAAAGCTCTGGCTTCACCACCAACTCTCCATGCCACCTTCGGCAAGTCACTTAGCCTTTCTTGTGCCATGGTCTCCCCATCTGTGAAATGAAGAGAACGTGATTTACCCAGCTTTATAAAGAGCTTTGAGAATATTTGCCAAGCCTGGCTCAGATGAATGCTGGTAGTCCTTTGAGATCCTCCAGTGTACACCGCTAATGCTAAGTATTATTGTTATCCAACAGGAATACTTAAAAGCTCCTTATGTATACCAAAGCCATGCTCCATGAGTTTACAGCATAACGTCACACCAGATTAGCCTCAAAATAGGCTTGTTACAGTTTTACGGACACTGGGAAGAGAGTTTTATTTTTCTGTTCATGTAGCAATAGAAAATCAGCACAAATCAGAAAGCCTCTGAAGAGACGCTATCTATGAAAATAATAAAAAAATAATTCCTCCCATTACTCTCCTCCCCTCCTCCGCCTTCCCCCAATAAAAACAGTTAGCTGAGAGTATGGGCATTACATCACTCTCCACCTGCACTTTGAAAAAAATACAATTCTACAGAAAACATGAAGCCCATAGTCCTAGCTGAGCTTGACCCTAATGGCGGAGAAGGAGAGGAGCAAAACTGGCTTTTCGCTTTTCCTATGCTGGAGCTGCCAGATGTTAATGTGGCCCGTGGCACAGGATACAGTAGCCTGTTGGCTTCTCTAATTTGTACCCAGCTGCCCAGGACAGATGGGCCGTTGCCTCAGCAAGATACCGCTCTGAACATGCTCCCTCCCTCAAAAGGAGGTGTGAATTGCCACAGCAACTCTATTCCTGCTGTAGATTCCCCTGTGGAATTCCCGGGGATCCCTTACAGCAGAGGTTCTCAAACTGTGGTCTGTGGATCACCAGTGGTCCGCGAGCTCCATTCAGGTGGTCCGTGGATAGTTCCCTCTAAGGTGTGCACCTAAGCAGCCACTCACAAGAGAATGAAGAGCCACCCACCTAATTAGTGGAGCTGCTCAGGTGTGGCTCCACTAATTAGGTGCCGGGACCCTGGAGAGGACACACAGGTAAGGTGAGGTGGTGGCCTTGGGGGGAATAAGGGGTAGGTGGGAGGGGACAGTGGGGTGAGAAGAGGGGGGCGAGGGGGATTTGGGATGTGCAGGGCTGCGGCAGCCAGAGAGGGCACATCAATCGCATTAGAAAGGTAAGACTACTAATTTCAAATATAAGTTGTGTGCTTTTATTTGTAGAACCAAAAACAAACGTTAATTATTAAGGTTTTTTTATATAGCACTTTTATCCAAAGCGCTTTACAATAGTTAGCTAACGGTACAAGCAACATTTGGAAAGATCATTAAGTGGTCCGCTGAGACCCTCAGCAATTGCAAGTGGTTCACGAAAAAAAAAGTTTGAAAACCACTGCCTTACAGTATCTTTGTGGCTTCATTACGCTGTATGCGTAGAACAACAATGAATCAGGTTCATTGGCTTTCAGCTGCTATAGGTTACGTCTACACTGCAATTAGACACCTATGGCTGGCCTTTACCAGCTGACTCAGGTTCATGGGGCTCAGGATGCAGGGCTGTTTAATTGCAGTGTAGATGTTTAGGCTCAGGCTGCAGTCCAAGCTCTAGGACCCTCCCATCTCGCAGGGTCTTAGAACCCAGGCTCCAGCCCAAGCCTGGATGTCTACACTGTAATTCAGGGGTTCTCAAACTGGGGGTCGCGAGGTTATTACATGGGGGTCATGAGCTGTCAGCCTCCACTTCAAACCCTGTTTTGCCTCCAGCATTTATAATGGTGTTAAATATATAAAAAAGTGTTTTTCATTTATAAGGGGGTCGCACTCAGAGGCTTGGTATGTGAAAGGGGTCACCAGCAGGGCTGTCCCTACCCATACGCAAAGTACACAGCTGCGTAGGGCACCAGGAAATTTGGGGCACCACATTCTGCATGCTGTTCCAGCCCCTACCCCGTCTCTTCCCCATAGACCCACCCTCTGCTCTGCCCCAGCCCCGCCCCCACTCCACCCCTTCCCCAAAGCCTCTGACCCTGCTCCTTCCCACCCAGCCCCGCCCCTTCCCTGCGGACTCTGCAGCAGGGCAGGCACCTAGCACTCACTACGTGGTAAGTGGAGTGACCCGGCCCCAGCCCGGTCCGTGCAGCCAGTGAGTGCTGGAGGGCGGGTTCCACCTGGCCCCCAAGCCAGCCCCCCCCCCCCCGGCGAAGGCCTGCCCCATCCCCATGGGGGGACTCTGTAGGGCCCGAGAATAGCTAGGGATGGCCCTGGTCACCAGTACAAAAGTTTGAGAACTACTGCTGTAATTAAATAGCCCCACAAGCCTGAGTCAGCTGGCATGGGCCAGTCATGGATTTTTAATTGCAGTGTAGACACCCCCAGTGGTGAGCTGGAGCCGGGTCGCTGGAACCGGTTGTTAAATTTAGAAGCCCTTTTAGAATCGGTTGTCCCACGAGGGACAACCGGTTCTAAAAGGGCTTTTAAATTTAACAACTGGCCAAAAGTGGCACCTAAGGCACCCACTCCGTGGGTGCTCCAGGGCTGGAGCACCCCCCAGGAAAATTTGGTGGGTGCAGAGCACCCACTGGCAACTCCCCGCCCCGCACCCGGCCCCAGCTCACCTCCACTCTGCCTCTGCCCCTGAATGCACCACCCCGCTCTGCTTCTCCACCACCCCCCTCAGCTTCCCACAAATCAGCTGTTCGCGCGGGAAGCCTGGGAGGGCTGAGAAGCAAGCAGCGGCTTCGCGCTCAGGCCCAAGGAGGCGGAGCGAAGGGGAGCTGGGATGGGGGGGGCATGAGGAAGGCCGGCCATGCCACAGCAGGTAACCCAGGGGGACCGAGAAGCAGAGCGGGGCGGTGCGTTCAGGGGCGGAGGGGCGGTGAGCTGGGGCTGGGCGGGGAGCTGCCGGAGCACCCACGGAGTCAGTGCCTAAGGCGCCACTTTTCATATGATCAGTGGGGGGGAGCGGCCATTCCCCCTGCTTCCCCCCTAGCTACGCTACCCCGCCCCTAGGAGCCAGAGGGACCTGCCGGATGCTTCCTGGGAGCTGCCCCAGGTAAGCACTGCTGGGACTCCTCACTTCGCCCCCCTGTAAGGCAGGTCCCTCTGGCTCTTAGGAGCGGGGCGGGGTGGGCACCCACTACGGTGGCCCATGAGACCCTCCTGCCCGGATCCGGGGGCAGTCAGGGGACAGGGGTTGATGGGACAGGGCTCAGTGGGGGGGGGGGGAGCCACAACCCCCTCGTGGGGTGAGGAGGGAACCGGTTGTTAAGATTTTGGCAGCTCATCACTGGACACACCCACAGAATCCCAGCCCTTTCAAATTCCTCTTGCCCTGCAGGGTGAGTTCCAATGAACGGTGAACTCCTCCAATACATAAAAAATTACAATGCCCTCTCTCTGAAAAAAAAAAAAAAGGAATTTTAAAGGGCCAGGACTGTGCACACCTGGACTTTGAGATCAGTACTTACTGGGATTTAAATGTGGTGATGTTAATCGTTGCAAGAATGTCATTGTCTTGCATTTTGGTAACTTACGGCTTCCATCTTAAGTAATAACAACAACAATACATAGCTCACATATGGTGCTTTAGATCCATAGATCTCAAAGCACTTCACAAATGGAGTTAAGTTACATTATTTTACAGATAGGGAAACTGAGGCACCGGAAGGTGAAGTGACTTCCCCACGTTACTCAGCAAACCAGAGGCAAAGCTGGGAATAGAACATAGGTCTCACAAGGCCCAGTCCAGAGCTCTCTATCCACTGGGTCACACTGAGTTTCTTATTGGAAACAGAGTGTTACTGCAAAAACTCTAACTTTCAAGTTAGCACCAGTAAGTCATGTTTTAAAAAAAGAAATTAAGCTTTAAATATTTGTCAATCTGTTTGAGCAACTGGTAAGAATTTTGGTACAACTATTTAATGTTTAACTATCTTTATGGCATTTAGAATGATCTGTTAATCCTATAGAACCTGCAGAATGACGTAGAGGAATTAATACATTTTAAAAAATGGTAGGGGGAGATAATCAAAGGGCATAAGGCATGTGATGTAGATTACACAAGCCCAGAATCTAATCAGTGCAAGAACACCTGCATCCATCACTGAGTTTGCTGGGTCACTGCCTATTGCTAGAGACATCAAACACCCTTAAAATAAGGAAACAAGTTTAAGTATGGCAACAAGCCCTGATTTAAGTCATATACACTTTCAGACAGCCTTCTACTTTTCATTCCAGCCAGTTCTGGGCTACAGTGCATGACACACAGAGCCCAGATATATAATTTTAAAACATAGCTGAAGTCAAAGCATTACAACCTATATACATTATGCAAATAGATAGGAAAGCAGTAAGAGAGAGAACTGATGTTACCTGAACAGAATCATTGCACCACGACATGGGGGACAGGCGAGGAGAAAAATCTGAAATATTAAACAAAAAAAGCTGGTTATCGATATGATTTTTTAAAAATTAATTTCCTCAACATTTCTCTCCTTCTCCCACATGTCACAGATAGTCCATCCAGTCGGAAGTTGTTCCGGCTACAGCAGGCCTTTGTACCAGGAAAGGGTTTAAAAATATCATCAAGCTAAAGATTCCACACCACCTTCACATAGATCTGAGCAGCAAAAGTGGCATCTAAAACTTTATTTCCCCAAGTCCAAAGGGCTCAAGTCTGATGTCCAGGCCATCTCTAATGCTCCCCCATTACAAGAGCTCCTCAAATACTGTTGCTGTGCAAGAGCAAACTACATCCTTATTAATTATTTCTACTGTGATAGCTGCCAGAGCTCCAATCAGCAGCAAGGCCCTGTTGTGCTAAGTCAGGGATTCCCAAACTTGGTTAGCGGCTTGTTCAGGGGTAAGCCCCTGGCAGGCCGCGAGACGCTTTGTTTACCTGAGCGTCCGCAGGTACAGCTGCTCACAGCTTCCAGTGGACATGGCTCACCATTCCCAGCCAATGGGAACTGCGGGAAGAGGTGGCAAATACTGAAGCTAGTTATCTAAGGCAACAGTGGTGACTTTCCAAAGCACTGGTATGAACTGCAGCAGTAAATGGATATACATTTCCTGAGATCAAGGATAATGCAATGATACTGGAACAGCAGACAAGGTGGGTAAAAATTGATGATTTTTAAGAACCAAAAAAAAAAAAATTGGATTTTTTAGTTTAAATTAACTAGGTTTATTTTTTAAAGAAAATCAAATTTAATATAATTTAAAATTAAATTTCAAATTGACAACCTATGGTAAGGCCTAGCCTTCTTATAATATATTAATATAATTTAAATTAAATAAAAAAATGATATTAAGTAGTACGTATTTTCTGCCAAGTTTTAAAGACAGTCAAATTACTCAACTGGTGGAAGTTGTAGTAAGATGAGGCCCTGAAACATAAACCCTTGGTATCAGGTGCCTGAGGCCTGAACCAAAGGAATGGTCAAGACTTTGTTAACATAAAGCAAAGTTAGCTGTGAGCCACAGGCAGGCCCTGCTCAAAAAAGTTGGCAAGAAGGCGGCTGCTAATTGGATGTATACACATATCTAAAGGGTATCAAGCACTAATAGGATAAACATGGACCAGGATGGCAACAGAACAGTCCGGTACAAACACAATCCACAGAAATAATGAGGAACAGGCTGACCCATCCTAAAAGACAGGCTCAAAAGGATAATATGATGGATAGACTTGTTTGTTTGAACCAACATGTAGTAGAAGAGAGGCAGCACCCCAACACACAGAGTGATTGTACCTCGATACGTCAGGAGTGATGTATAACTTGTTTGTACCTGTGTATAAGAATGCAACCCCGAGTGGATGTCTTTTTCTGGCCTAGTGGGCAGTGGAGAATCCCACCACTGACTGAGCTGGTCCATTGTCAGGGAGCACATATGTACTAGCAGAACTGTAGACATCTGATCCAGGGAGCTAGAGACTGTTTCGTTTGGCAATAAACCTGGCCGGATGCCTTTGTACCTTATCGGAGTCTGTGGTCATTGGGTGGTTCACTCGAGATCTGCTGTGCCAGCTATCTGTGCAGAGCTGGGACAGCACACAGGGAGAACACACACACACACACACACACCTGTTATCAACATTGAACAGAGTAGAGCACCACACCGGTGACATCTGACAACAGATGTCACTGACAAGTCACCCAGGACCTGAGTCTCTAAACCAGCTTTTGACAGAAGTAGCCTATTCTGCAGGTGCAGTAACAATATTTTCATCTCGGTTTATTCAGTCAATTAATTCAGTTCAGTCAATTAAGAAAACAATTGGGAGTTGAAAAAAGTGGGAAAGCTTGTTTTCTCTTTTCCAATCTATGAATAAAAACTAGGTATGAGAGGATGACATCTACTAGTTCTAAAGTCATCATCCCCCGGTGCTGGAATTCAAATCCAATTGTTCAAATATTTTGCATCAGCAAATCTTAACCAGGATACAAAGTGATTAATATCACTAGCAGAAAGAAGAATTACATTTTAACACCTATTGCCTTCTGGTGCAACACAAACAAGCACCAAACTAGCCAAGATCTTAATATAATTTGGACTGCAGAACAATTCAACTTCATTACTTTGCCCTCGTGAATAGAGGGCATCAGTGGAAAATATCTTCTATTTGGTTAAAAGGAGGATCCAATGACTTCTTTTGTTGCCAGGCCAGTACTCCAAATATCAAATTGCTCTATGTGAGAACTCTTTCTCCGAAGTGAAATATCAGGTATATTCAGCAAACATACCTCTCTCTGGTGCTGCAGGGCATGCCTGGTATATGCACCTGGTAGATGTTCAATTTAATTACTACCAGACCATGACCATGCTACAGCAACAGTGGGAAGGTTAAACAACACAATATTATGAACTGTGTCATTAGAATCTGAAAGTGAGCCTTTAACCAGACAGCTATTGGTACAGTGAATATTTGGATTCCAATGCAGGTTTTTAACAGGGTAACATACACTGGATTATTCACTCACTCAAGTTATTTGCTTCATTCATTCTATCAAATGAATGAGTCTCAGTTACTGTTTGGAGCATTCAAAATCTCATCTCAGTCAGCAGACAGAATGTTTGTGGTTGCAAAGTACAAAAAAAAGATATCAATTAAATTTAACTGAAAAGGCCTCAAGTCACTTACTTACCAAGAAACCCCAAAACCAAATCAGAATTGCTTGCATTAAAAAAAGCAAATCATTTCACTTCATTATGTTAACGATCAAGTTAATCCAATGGCTGCGTAGGAACAGTCCAATAACTGATGCTTTGTGTGCAGAGGCAAAAAAAGGAGCATACTTCTTAGATGATATTTTCCCGCATATCAGTTGAATAGCGTATAGCCCCTGTAGGACTCTCTCACATACACACACACACACCAAGGATTAGGCAGATTCTGCTTTGAATTAAACTTTCCAAAATGGGTTTAGTGGCTGCATTAGCCTACTGTCTGTACCGCAAAGATACTCATGTTGCACAAGGGAAATATTAAAATACTAAACTAGCTCCGTGGCCTTTTATCGTATTTTACCCCAGCAATCTTGACATGTTATACAAAGTGACACAGACAGAAGAGAGTTCTTGAGCAGAGCAGTTAGACACATTTTAAATCTATCCCAAGACACTAAAAATCCCAAAACCTTAAAGAGCCAGCGCTCAGGGCAGGGCAGGGGCAGCGTGCAGAGCTGCCGTGTTTCCGCCTAGGAGCAGCTGGGATGTGCCACTGCTTCTGGGGAGCCACATGAAGTCAGGTAGGGAGCCTGCCGACCCCGCACCAACCGGACTATAAACCAGAATTTCAACGAAGATCAGAAATGCCGGTTTATAGAGCTTTCTGGATGGTAAAGTGCCAGATAACACAGCTTTTACTGTAGTAGTTAAAGCCATGCTGTTGCACAAGTGTGGTAACTTAGTCAATCATTCTGCACAGGTATAATTCATAAGTCAAAATGGCTGAGAACTTAAAAACTGGACAGTAACACACCTCAGATGTGATGACTGAACCTGGTGATACTCTAAACAAAAAGAGCTCTCAACCATACTTGCTGCTATTTCCATTGCTTCACACTGACTCAGACATTCTAGGTTTCAAAGCGACACCGACAGAGTGACAATCCTGGCATATTATACCCAGGATCAGCTGAGACTTGAACTCTGGGGTTACAGCTCCAAAAGCAAAGACCTCTGTCACTTGAGCTAAAGGAGCACTCTCTCAGCAGACAGCAGTTGTAGATCTTTTATCCTGTCTCTGTTGATCACAAACTAGGGAGCAACATTATCCATACAAAACCAGTGCATTACACACAAACTTTGGGGTGTTTAAAGTCTGGATCCAAATCTGAATCTTGCACTTCGAGTATGGTTAGAGAAGCGTTCAAAACCAAAAGGGTGGTGGGTCCTCTGGGGGAAAGCCTTGATTTTTTCATACTGCAATAGAAGCCTTCTTTTCATGTAACATTTAAGTTTCTATGTAACGAACTTTCCTCTTTTTGAACAAATAAATTCATTTAATTTAAGTGGGCTCTATCATGCATTGTTTTCAAAGAATATCTAGGCACTATAACAGCTTTGTTGGCACTCTCAGCTGGGAATGAGACTTCAGTAGTTCAGCAGAGGCCACAAAATAAATTGGCAATAGAAACTAGACTACTTTACCTGCACCCTAGCAGTGGGACTTTGATGAGGCAGTGGAGAAAAGGAGTTTGCTGTGACCACTCCACAAATGGTGTGTTTTCTGCATCGGTACAGTATCTAGACCTGCCCCGGGACTTTTCCCCAGCATTGAAATAAATACACAGTTAAGATTCTTCCATTTAGTTCAAACTTGTTAGAATACAAAAATAAACAATTAAATTATGCAGCAGCCATTTTCTAACATATCCCTCGAGCGCATTAAAATCAATACAAGATGGAACATGGCAAAGGCACTAGGTTAGAGCCTGAGCACCTGCCAAGGAGTTGAATTTGTAGGAGGGAGATCGGAGGATGGATTTAACTCAATCCCTCTTGAGCAGCTAACCACTTTGCACCTTGTAAGAATGTGCCCCTAACAAAACCAAGAAAATGCCTCAGAGAAATAAAAGACTAGTCTGAAAATCTGCCAACTTGAAAAAACATTCAGTTTGCCAAGCCAATGTGTTACCTCAGCACCCAGTTAGTGCCTTCTCTTTCTGCAGGAGAGAAAGGCAGACACAGCCACTACCACCCCCCCCAAGGAACTGAGAGCAAATCTGACTGATATCCGACAAATCTTCATACGTGTTTAAAAAGTGACATTTCTTCAAAGGTATCCACTCACAGGTGAAATGCCAATATGATTTTTTTTAAATGCTTGGGGTTGGCAATATTGCTCACTTCAGTGAGAACTGAGGGTATTCATCACCTTATAGGGAATGGTCTTTCTCCAGCCTCATAAGAAGCC